AAAAAGAATACTAGGAGTTAACCGGGTGAGCAGGATCACATGCACATAGGAAAAACATTCCAAAGTCAGAACTTGTATAGAGCTAGTACTAAGTAGCACAGTTAACACATGGGAGAGGATAAAGCTGTAGAGGTGATAGGTAGAGCTTGGGTAATAGAGGACCTTGGGATAACAAGTAAATATTGGATGTTTGCTATGTGCCCCCTCACAGCTTCATATATGTTATCTAACCTCAGCAACCTGATGAAATAGGGCTGGGTTGGGTGGCTCATACCTGTAATCCTAGCACTCTGGAAGACCAAGGCAGGTGGATCACCTGAGCTTAGGAGTTCAAGACCAGCCTGAGCAAGAGGAAGACCCTGTCTCTACTAAAAAATAGAAAAACTAGCTGGGTGTTGTGGTGGGTACTTGTAGTCCCAACTACTCAGGGACTGAGACAAGAGGATCACTTGAGCCCAAGAGTTTGAGGTTGCTATAATCTATGATACCATGGCACTCTACCCAAGGAGACAGAATGAGACTTTGTCTCAAAAAAAAAAAAAACTTATGTAATAGATACTATTTTTATTCCCATTTAACAGACAAGAATGTTGAGGCTCCAAAAGGTTCACTGTCTTCCCCAAGATCTCATAGGTGGCAGACCCAGGCACTGTGGTCTTCACAGTCTAGACTCCAAACCATACAGCTCTTGTGTGTCCTGGATTCCTCAAGGGGACTTTATCCTGTTGCTATGAGCATCATGATAGCAGATTTATAGAATTTTCCTTAGCCTTTGAAGAGTGCTAAGTAAAGAAGGAAAAAGTACATGAGAGGTTGTGGGAGAACAAAGAACCTGAGTTGGCTATTTGGTCTGGCAGTTGCCTCCCAGTGAGTGGTGGGATCTGGATGAATCTTGGGGGGTGGATAGCATTCGCTAAGGAAGGGAGGAGAGGAAACTGCATGTGCAAAGACCTTCAAGCAACCCCCCTTTTCAAGAGCTGCTGGGAGTTCATTTTTACTGGAGATTGAGGCAGGCTTCTGGTGTGGGTAGAAAATGGGCTTTCCCTGAGTTCCAGGCAGGGCAGTGGCAGCATTGTGATCATGTATGTATCTCTGGTATCTTGGTGTCTTGAAATGACAAGCACTTGTGAACCACAAAGCTCTGAACAAATTTAAGGTATCAAAGTGCATGAGACTGGATAGTGGGATTACTAAGGAGTCAGGGCTAGATTATTGTATAGGAAAAGGAAGGGGAACCATTGAAGAGTTTTAGCAGAAAGTCACAACTTGGCTTGGCGCCTATGGTTCAAGTGGCTAAGGCACCAGCCACATACACCTAAGGTGTGGGGTTTGAATCCAGCCTGGCCTGCCAAACAATGATGGCTGCAACCAAAAAAAAAAAATAGCCAGGCGTGGTGGTGGCGCCTGTGGTCCCAGGTACTTGGGAGGCGGAGGCAGGAGACTCACTTGAGCCTAGGAGTTGGAGGTTGCTGTGAGCTATGCCACAGCACTCTACCAAAGGGGACAGCTTGAGACTGTCTCAAAAAAAAAGAAAAAAAAAAGAAAGTCACAACCTTACCTTGTTTCCAATCTTTGAAAGGAGTCAAAGTGCTAAAGGTAAAAACTTTGTGGACCCATTAAGCTTAAGAAGGATTCACTTGTGTCTGGTGAATCTTAAAAAGAAATGTGGGGCTCAGCACCTGTAGCCTAGAGGCTAGGGCACCAGCCACATACACTGGAACTGTGGGTTTCAAATCCAGCCTGGGCCTGCCAAACAACAAAAAAATAACTGGGCATTGTGGCGGCCGCCTATAGTCTCAGCTACTTGGTAGGCTGAGGCAAGAGAATCGCTTAAGCCCAAAGGAGGTTGCTGTGAGCTATGATGCCATAGCATTCTACCCAGGGCAACAGCTTGAGACTCTGTCTCAAAAAAAAAAGAAAAGAAAATCTGGGCCTGCCGTGGTGGCTCTTGCCTAATCCTAGCACTCTGGGAGGCCAAGGTGGGTGAATTGCCTGAGCTCATGAGTTCAAGACCAGGACCAGCCTGAGCAACAGTTGTGGTGGGCACCTGTAGTCCCAGCTACTTGGGAAGCTGAGGCAAAAGGATCGCTTGGGCACAGGAGTTTGAGGTTGCTGTGAGCTATCGTGCCAGGGCACTCTACCCAGGGTGACAAAGTAAGACTCTGTCTCCAAAAAAAAGAAAAGAAAAGAAAAGAAAATCTGTTTTGTTTTTTTTCCAGGAACTTTCACATTCATTCAGACTTCTTAGTATCCATGGCATTTTTTTGTCCAGTTGACATAGTATTTTAGATAACTTTACTATTGAAAGTTTTAACAACATTTGCCTTCCACCTGTGATTGTATACTCCATAATAATTATGTTTCTTTTACTCTCTGTTAGCAAAGACTCTTGGAATTGCAACGCCCAGAAAACCTGTCTTATGTGTCAGTGCAAGAAAAATTAAGGACAATGCAGCTGATTGGCATAATTTAATCATGAAATGGGAAACTCTTAATGATGCAGGTTTTACTACTGCAAGTAATATTGCCAACCTGAAAGTCAGTTTATTGTAAGTACCTATAGATTCTTCATGCTATGACTTTTCATCTTTAATGGCTGGGCTGAAGTTTCAGGGGAGTCTTTTAGTGTAGGATTATTGACATGAATAAATTAAAAAATAAAATACTAAGCACAAAAAGCATGCAAGTAAGAACTATATATGTAGATTTAAAATACAAAATTATATCACATATTATTCATGGTTATATCTTGATATAAAATTATAAAAATAAGATTGGAACTGTGGTGGGCACCTGTATTCCAGCCCCTGGGGAGGCTGAGGCAAGAAGGATCACTTGAACTCAAAAGTTTGAGGTTGCTGTGAGATACGATGATACCACAGCACTATAGAGCAACAAAGTGAGACTCTGTCTCAAAAAAAAAAAAAAAAAAAAAGAAAAATATTGGAAGGATCAACCTTCCAACAGGTTCAACCCATGATACTGGTATCTTCTAGGAAGAATGATATTGGAGTGCTGCATATGGGACTTTATCTTCATGCTGCTGTATTTTATTTCTTAAAAAAGACAAAAGAATTAAGAGAAAACTTTTAGAATTAAATTCAGCCATGTGACATCCTTGGCATAGAGCATAGTGCTGTGTGTAGTAAGAAAAATAAGCTGGATCTTTTCTCAAAGGGTTCACAATCTAAGAATATGTTTTTTTTTTAAAGAATATGTTTTTTAAACTTAAGGCTATCACTCATGGGTCATGAAATTAATCTAGGTGCCACAAACAACATATGGGGGGGAAATTTAAACCTAGAAATAGAATACAAAATATCGAAGTAAGGGTAAGAATTTTTTCATGAAACTTCTTCAACGGGATCTCACCAGGAAAAGGTAGCAGAAGCTGAAAGTAAGTACATGCTGTGTTTGAGGGAATTTCCTAAGAGAGCAAGCTGAAGAAAGCAAGAGATAAGGCCAGGAAGTGAAGACTCTAGCCCAGTGTTTTTCAAACTTTTTTAACTCATGGCACACTTGAACCTGTAGTTAAACTTCCACCACACACTTAATTATGTTGATCAAAAAGAAGAGTAAAAGGCTCAGCACCTGTAGCACAGTGGTTACAGTACCAGCCACGTATACCGAGGCTGGCGGGTTCGAACCCAGCCTGGACCAGCTAAGCAGCAATGACAACTGCAACAGAAAAATAGCCAGGCGTTCTGGTGGGTGCCTGTAGTCCCAGCTACTTGGGAGGCTGAGGCTTAAGCCCAAGAGTTTGAGGTTGTTATGAGCTGTGACACCATGGCACTCTACCGAGGGTGACAAAGTGTGACTCTGCCTCAAAAAAAAATTAATAAAAATAAAAAAGAAGAGTAAAAAAAATGAATATACTTACTGTGTTTTGAACTTCTTTTGAAAATAATTTAGTTAATGATCTTTAAAATTTTTTGTGGCACTCCTAAGATCCTCTCCCTGCACACCAGTTAAAAATCACTGCTCTAGCCTGTAGACAAAGGAAAGCTGGATGATATATATATATGGGGCTTTTTTGTTTTACTTTTTTTCTTTGATTTGGGGTTTGTTTTTTCTTTTAATTTTAACATTGAGAAATTAGAAATACACAGAAGGTACAAAAATGTATATAAATTTTAAGAAAGGGAAAAACTATTAAAATTGTAATACTCCATATATACCAATAACAAAAGATGACTACAAGTCACATTTGACTTCTGCAATTACAAGAGGTGCTGAAAGTGTTACCATCAGTGTCGAGACACTTCTGATTATGGCAAACTGCTGTGTGAGCCATCTTGACCAAAGTGTCCACAGTGGACACTTGACCACAGTATTGCTGCCATGCATCTGTGCTTTTTCTTCTAACTCCTATCTTAGATGCACATTGTTTGGTAGAGTCTGGTGAGTGTGTAAACTGTTCCAACACCGTAGCAGAAGCAGGACTTGTTGCTGTGCGAGGCCTCCTGAATCTTCCTTTGTACATAGCACATACAGTACTATGTGTCTCAAACTTAGCACGAATGCGTGCAATTGTTAGGCATGTTGGAGGTTCTGTTGCTTACTCATGCCTCTGTTGTACTTCTGCAACATCCTGAATTTCAAATACCACTTCAAAATGATCTCACACTCTAACAACCGTGCTTCCTCTATTTTCTTTTCTTTTCTTTTTTTTTTTTTTTTT